TGTTCAGAACGCTACCGTGCGCTCGAAACGTTGGCGCAAAGTATGAACACACTCTCAGGGTCACTGTGCGCTGGCATCCACACCATTTACGTGGCAAGGTATTAAATACGGTTACTCTTGTTCTTGCGCTTAGCTTACTTCGCTTTATTTATGAATCACCCGGGGTTCTGAACGACACCGAGCGCACTCTACTTTCGCGCTGGGATGAATGCGCTCTGCAGACGCTTCCATGCTCCACTGACAATAACAAGACGTAGAATAAGCTAATGAGTTCTTGTATGGATCCCTTGATACATTCTGCTTCCTCAGGAAAGCTCACGGTTATTCTTGCTTTATTTTTGTTTAGTTTGATAGATCTAAGACGTAATGGGCCGTGTATTTGCTGCGGTTATTGCTTCTAAGACACCTACTGAACTATTTATTTAGCCTAGTTCATTCAAAAATGCGGATATTGTTGCTGAGTATCAGTTTGTTCGTATCAGCCCCAGCGGTACTTATTGAGTATACACTGACGGATGAAGAATGCCTAGAAGCAGGATTTATTCGAAAAGATTTAAAGGTGGGGTTTTCGCTTGAATTCAGTCTTTAGTTCTCGTTTTTTTAAATGCGTGCTTATACCATGAATATGCTCCTTGCAGCTTTGCTGCAATGAATTTAGCATGTCCTCGTTCCTTTATTTTGCACCACAAAGAGGCATTTCCGGGACCTTTCTTCATTCTTATGCTCGTCAGCTCTTTCCAGTTGAGATAGATTTAAGTTAGACTACTGAATTGTTATGTTCAAAACTGACTTAAAGACGCACTTCAGTATGGAAAAACTTGGATAGCGAGGTGAAACTAAGGGTTTAACTGCATAGCTTCCTAGTAAAGTACAAGCCAACAAGACCGTTCGAAATTTTTCACTTATGACCCACTTTTGGTTTGTGTGAATTCGCCAGCCGTCGGACTAAATCTCCGAAACATTCTACTTCTTGCTAACAAATTTATTCGGTCACCGGCTAAGTGCATCCTGTCTGGTTCATTGAGGCGTATCTAGTGAATTGTAGGGTTCATTCGCGTTTTTAACGTAGTGTGAGGTAGCGAGTGGGCGGGTCCTTACGCAGTAGGTGGAGCCTGAGACAAGATCACACTCTGTCGTCGTCCTTACCACATTTGAGCAGCGAAAGCGGGCATCTCATGTGATGCGTATCTGCCCCTTTCTTAAAGAAGGGGAGCATTCCGCCACTCGGACAATCGTGAAATGGGACATTAGTTCTGCAGTGTAGTACTTTGTGCAAGGCATATGGGCGGGGAGTTCAAGTCGCTCACAACCGCTACAGGTACCACTGCAGGTAGCCAATTTGTTGTCAGATGTAATTTGTTTGTGAACTGTTTAGTGTGCTGTCAGCCAGCCTTTCCTGCAGGAACTGTGGAACAGCGTTTATGAATGTGAAGGGTCTGCAATTTGAAGTATGCACCCACCAATTGGGAGAACAAGCACTCCGGATTCGATAGGAAATAACTGGGTCCGCCCACTCCGCGATTTCGAATAATGAGCAGTTCCAGAAATCTAAGCGATTCGCACATTCTGAGATCTTCAGCTCTTTGATTTT